TTTAAGGAAAGTAAAAAACATACATGAAAACATGAATAGAATATATACTGGTTTGTTTTTTGTTTAAAAAGGCCATGGGGAAATTACAATAATGATTTACAATAATGATTTACACCTCTGTAATGAAAATTTCATCTAGACAACTAAATAGAATAAAGCTAGACTCCTTAGATTCTCTCTAGATCCAACACACTGGGACGGACTGAAAAAACTGTAGCAGTATGAATGAAAAGGATATACTTTGTGTAGCAAACTTACCTAGGGAAACCAGGCTTCTGAGGTCATATTGTCTACGAAACACTCCTTGAATAGAATCACAGAACAGAGCTAAAGCTTTAATTTCAACCAAAATTGACAGACAGATAAAAAATTAATAAATTTGTTCCTGCCAGTGTCATGGAAACAGGTGGTTAAGGCCATTAAGAAACATCCTGGTTAAGCTCTCACTGAATTAAAGGCTATTAAATTCACTAAGACCCAAATCTAATCATTTTTGGTTCCTTACATAACCCAATAGCATACTGCTGAACACCTCACTGATGGCTCATACATAATTAACATTATACCCCAATATAGCTATAAGTTACATGTTACACAATCCAGCAAAGGGACCCCCTACACTTTTTGCAAAGGTGAAAGTGCTGTGAGTTTCAAGCAATATTCTTTACATTGTATGTCTGCAGAACTGGGCTTAAAACAGAATGAAAGAAACAAGACAAATGGATCAGCAACATGAATTTTTCATCAAGTTTATCTCAAAGTGAACAGGGCAACTCCCACTTAGAGCCAATATCTATTGCTTGTGGACAAAGCAGCATTTCAGTAATTTCTACTGGACACTGAATTGATGCCATAGCAAACAATGGTGCTGAAGCCTATATGGTGACTATCACATGAAAACACAAGAAAACCCTCCAAAATGCTGAAGCCCTTCACAAGAAAAACTTCAGTTCCTCATCTTTGCGTTCATTAATAAATATTCACTACAGAAAATCTGAATTAATCATCAGAGGTTCAAGGATGAAACGGTTTAATGAGGCCCAAAGAAAAACATGAAGATAGATATTTAAGAAATTAAAAAAAGTAATAATTAAAAAGCAAGGAATACGCAAGAAGGTGATTTCACACAGAATTAGTGACAAATGGAGATAAACCTCTAATCTAGAAGTAAAACAGCGCTTCATAATCAGGTACGACTGGGGTTTCTTGAGGCACTGTTTCCATATGTGTTATTGTAACATGACACACATCCTTTGCTCATTACTGTTAATTACAATGAAAACCTCCTATAATTAACTACAGAAAAATTGGATAAAAAAACCTTTCCACACATACTTGTATATACATATAGTAATGAGCTTTTGCACTGACAGTTCTGTATAATTCTTTTAGTACAACAGTTAAGATTATGCTGCTTCATGTATTCTTGCAAAACCATTCAAAGAGATTTCCATGAGCTATTCCTCCAGCTGATAGACAAGAGGTGCTCTGAATTCAACTTATTACAAAAGCAAACCATCTTATTGTAGTAGTCAGATTATATGTTATGCCGTGTTATTAAAAATAACTTCCCTTCATTCCTGTATCATTCCCACTACCAGCAGAGACCTAAGCACAGACACTTTTCAGCACTGTCCCATGTAGCCCTTTTTCACCATCTCTGCCTAAGAAGCCCTAATTCTCTCTCTGTGTCACCAGTCACCCTCAGCAAGCTTGACTGATGCACCAGCCCAGGTGTGCACTCAGGACACACTTTCCATAGCCCTTTTTTTTTTTCCTAATCAACACTTTGAACAATGGTCATTATCCACCAATTTGGACTGAAGGCACTTCTGCATCAGTTTTGCCCACCCACAGCCAGATGTCACCAGGTTCCATGAATGTCCCAGATATGGCAACTGGACCTCTTTGCAGGGGCCAGTAGGCTGCTATTGGTAAACACTTTTCTTCAGCTATCAAAGTGTCAATCAGTGAGAACTTCACAGAGAGAAAGCCAGTGAGAGTTCTACTTACCATTAAGTTCTCCCTCCGTGACACCCTAAGTCTGCCCTGAACTATTAACTCACACCCCTGCCCAAAACCCCCTTCTTTTGATCACAGTAAAAAGCAGCTAAGAGTGATTAATACATTTGCATGATACTGATGTGTCTCAGAGCAAAGCTAGACCTGTCGACCTGATATAACTTTATAGAGTCAAGAATTTTTCACTCAAAATAAAAACTGATATGAAGATCACTTTAAAATGGATGGGACTTAGCAACACAATTTAATGCTTTCTTTCCATTCATCATTACGTGTTGCCAGATTTTATTTCTCACTCCTCCTCATACCTTCGGGAGATGGGGGGAAAAGGGGATATTCCAAATCATCACCTCCTAATCTTCCAAGCTCTAAAGGAATGATTACAACCACTATTTTCTTCAGCCATATGCCACTGCAAGCCAAACACCTTTGTACTTATAACTTTTTAGACACAAGAACATACGTGTGGTGAATCAGGTCTTCACACTGCACTTGTCCTCTCTCTAAAATGCTGCAGGTTGCTTGCTTACCATCCAAAACAAGCAGGATGAGGACTAGCTCTACGTACCACACACTGTTCATGCCATTCTGCAAGCTCCCAAATGCGATTAGCACAGAAAACGCGAGAAGACCAGAATGCATCTTTCCATATTTAGCCACGTATGTTTAAAACAGAGTTAGATTTTACCTCAGTGCATTATTCCATTTATCAAGGGCGGGTATAGCAAGGAAGACAGACTGACATCAGCTACTTTAAGATTTCTCTTCCTCCTCCTCCTCCCCCCCCCCCCCAGTTTCTGTGACACCATGCATTGTGCATCTTATGTGCATTCATGTGTGCAAACAGCAGAGAAATCTCTATAAAGATCAGTTATATGGTAAAACTGCAAAAGGAAACTTTCAACCTTGTCCAGCTGGTTGAATAACTGCAGAGGCCAACAGCAGCAAGCCCCTAAATACATCCTCTCCTTCTCCCTCCACCCCCACGTCTCTAATCACTTAGGAGGAAGATAGGAAGATTAGTAGAGAGGAAAAAAAATAACCAAAGCTGCAGATAACCCTTTACAACCACAACATCAGGCTATGAGACATGGAGCAAAAGGTTAACGTAGCTGTATTTTCAGGAATCTCAGACACAATTGTCTTTAAAGGGGAGGGAGGGGTGCCCAGAAGGTGAGAGAAAGAAAATAGGAAATAGTGATAAAGACAAAAATGGATTTGTCATGTACAGCTGGCTCTTTGATCACCTGGACAATCCAGGAAAGGATTACCAGGAGAAATAGGGCAGTTTTGTTAGCAATACACTGCTATTTTTTGGTATTTTCATTATCAGACCAAATTTTAGTAAGAATACAGCTGTAGAAGTAAGGGCTTATTGAGCTCTGCAAACAATAAAGGTGGTAACCAAAACACTGACAGGCAGCTACCTTTTAGCAGCTGATACACAGAAGAGATTTCGGGAAAAAAAAAAGAAAAAAAAAGTCACTTTCACTAGAAGACAGTGTCATCTTCATCCATGTCTCCGAATGGTTGCTATGGGGTTGTGAAGAGGAGGGGAAGGATGGGGGGGGGGGGGGGGGGGGGGGTGTATAATCAATCATCTCAGAAGAGCATTGCTTCTTTCAGAGAAAGATCTGGATTTTGACTGTGTCCCTAAGAAAATTGCGGACTGCAGAGCTGCTGCCATGCAGAGCAGTGAGGAAGCAGGCAAAGGAGAGGCAGCAGCTGGGAATGGAAACGCCTATTAAATCCTTTAGACAACAGATGGGCAAAGCTCGGCTGGGTTATTAAAAAAAAAAAATACATATATATATACACCACAATGCATCATGTTTTATTGTCCACTCATAATGAACAACACTTAACACCCACATGCCCAAAGAAGCCCCCCTATGGCTGATATGGCTGATCTTCCCCTTTCCCTAAATTATAATCTCAAATCTTAATCGATTTCTGGGGGGCTCCTGACCCACTGAATTTGCCAGATGCCATTGTTTATTGCACCTGTTACTAAAAAATTAAATAAATAAATAAATAAATAAATAAAGGAAGACATTTGGGCTTATTTTTAGGGTTTTTCTTCCAATCAATGCTCCCCTGCCCTTGAAGTGAATATGCTATCCAAGCAAGCAACAGTAAGTCCAGATCTTGAATGCATTTAAGAGATCTAATTATGTCATGTAGGGCAGAAGCATCTGCTCTCTGCTAATACCCTCCACTGCTTCCTCTTTTTAATATTTCTTACCATTGTTCCATTCAGGAAAATCTGCTGGGGGCAAGTTTCATAAACAAGCTTTAAGAAAAATAATTAAATAATCTCCCCTCCCCCCAATCCCTCCTACAAAAACACAGCATAACCAAAATGAATTCTGCTACCAATCCTCTATTTTTCTTTTATTTCTGACCCTACCCACAAAAACCACCAGCCCATCCATCCATATTTGCTAAATACCCACAGCAGTCAGTGCCACAGACATACTGTACATATTTCCAACCCCCCAACTGCACCTTAAGGACTACACCCTTTTCAATCATGATGTCATGAAATACTGCTGGTGACTCCCCCACTACCACCACCTCCTTGGTACTACAGGCTGTGAACCTTTAATTTCAATATAATTTGATTAAAAAGAAAATGCTCCTAAGTAGGGCAGTGAAGAAATTGATGTGAAAATTCACCACCAGCAGAGCATCTATTCATCTAATTTTTCCTCTGCATGCACTCCGGCTGTCATCAGAACAACACCCATTAGCAGGAGTAATGAACATAAAGCATCCTGGGCTACTCTTTTTCTTTTTAGGGAAAGGGAAAAATGAAGAAAAGAAAGAATAAATAAAGGCAAAAATCCCATATGAATATTACCTCCACTAAAACAGCAAATGGGAAAACCTAAACCCTCATATATCCCATCCCCAACATCTCACTGGCTGCTACAGCATCTTCCCGCTAGCGCCAGTGCTGCTGCAAAAGAACCAACCTGTCTGTCCTTTTCCTAAGGTTTTCTCCAAACGATAGGGTCCAACATATTGTGCATGTTGAGCTCCGCTTCCTTCTTTTCCTGTTGATGTCATTTCTACCTGGATCTGTAATTCTGCAACGTGTATGTGCTGATGAGATGGAATTTCTCTCTCTGCAGTTCTTTAAATTCCCACTCTGCAGCTGTGCAAGCAAAGCACTCTTTTTTTTTTTCTTTGCTTTAGTCCACTTGGTTGCAGGTTTTTCTCTTCCTCCTCTTTCCTCTCACGTGCGTGCTTTCTCGCTGGGTCTGCCTGGGACGTTGATGGACGAATGAGTTATTTTAATGTTCAAAGAGGGGGATCTCCGATCCAAGCCCAAGGAGCATGATGCTGGTGATCCAAGCTCCGCACGCCTTGCTCCCTCTACGAGCTATTCAAGGGAGAGCCAGAGCCAGAGCAGCGGAAGAGCCGGAGCACGCAGCTGTGATTGACATTAAAAGCAGCCAATCTCCTCATCTGTCACCCCCTTCTCCCCGCCTCCTTCCACTACCTTTTCTTCCCCATCAGCAGCAATTACTGCCTCTGCCTGCCACAGAGCATCGTGATCAATGCAATAGCAAACACCTACGTTTATCAATTTATTAATAAGTCATAATTAAGTATAGTTTAATGTGTATATTATTTTAAGAACAAAAAATACTTTTTTCCTCTGAAGTATACTCCATTATGCAGCTATACTTCCAGAGTATTAAAGAAAAGCTGAGATTGTGGCAGAAAACAGAAAAAATAAACAAACCCCACAAAACAAAAAAACCTTACTTCTGAAAATGAACCTGAAAAATTAATTGATTCTATTAGATTCTGAAGAACCTACTTCTTCCATGAGGTTTACCATTTAAAAAGAAACTTTTTTTCTTTTTTCTTTTTTTTTTTTTGGGGGGGGGGGGGGGAAGAGGGGGAGCAAGGCAAAGAGAAAAAAGGTAGGAAAAAGACAGGGCCAATCCTATAACCACTAATTTGATGACAGACTTGCTTTTGAGTTTGATTGGAGCAAATAGAGTTCAGATCTTTAGATAAGCAGCAAAAAATGGCATGGCCACTATCTTAATTAGACAGACAGTAGAAAATCCAGGGATTAGATAGTAATGGGAACTGATTACCAGATCCACAGTCCCTATACTAGCAGCATAAGAAAACTTCCACCTTTTCTGTCCAAGTACTTATGCCTGTATTTAACCTTCAGAGCTTAAGGAGTTGGATGAAATGTGGACTATGCTAATATGTTATGCACAAGCCTGTGTATGGTCCGGAATTCAAAAAGTACATCAGTTTCAGTCAGAGTCCAGGGCTATCAAGATGAAACCAGTACATCACTTGAGTTCTGGTTTTATATTCTCTTCTCTGCTCCATTCCAGAGAACTGGTCAAGATATTCTTGTCAAATTGTAACTGAGACACAACACAGAGCAAGAAGTCAGAGAAGGAAGCCTTGACAAGCATATAAAAGAAAGGCAGAGTGAAGAGAGGGTACAACTTGTACAAGGCCTTATCATTACCTGTTGTTCATTGAGAGAAAGTACTATTTCAGACTGTTTTTTTTTTAAAGAGCAAAATCTACCTTTTTTCAATACCTGTATCTACAAATAGCAGCTGCTGATGAAAACTGGAATAAAACTAGAAATTGGTTCTTTACGTGCATCACAGACAACACAACTCTACCCAACAGGTTGCAGAGGAGTTAACATGATGAGGAGGCAAGAGGAAACCACGCCAGTGAACTGAAACCTTAAACCAATTCAAAGGTATCCTGCTGTCTCCTCAGGAAACAAAACCTCAACACCTGTTTTAACCTCTCCCTGCTTTGCTCTTTACGACTCATCTTTACTCACTTCCAGACTGTGCGCTGCAGCAACCTGCCAGCAAGCTCCAAAACGCCTCAAACCGTTCCTGCTCCCCTTTCTCCTTGCGACCACACACTCAGACTGCTCTGCTGAGAGGGTTGCCTCTACGTTTTTCCAACGGCAACCTGTGTTCCCTCCAACCCTCACAGGTGTTTACTTTCTGCCCCTACTAAACTCAACATCAAACTGCCATTTCTCCAAGCTGCTTCCCCCAAACGTTTCATTCAAGCACCATTCTTCCCCTACCTTACTGCAAGCCCAACAGCTGTTCCTCTTTCACCCTTTCATCACGCTCCCACCCCTCTCCCCTCGAGAGCCGCGGTGCGTCGTCTCACACATCTGAGCCCGTAGCTCCTCATCGAGGAGGGAGGAAAAGCAGTTGAGGAAAACGACGCCAACAACCGAGTCGGCACTTCCCCACACCGTCCTTTCATCCCTTCTACTCTACAGCCCCCGATGTAGCCGCGGGACAGGATGGGGAAGGAGAGAGGAAGCAGCGGGCTCTGCTGGCAGCGTCGGCGAGATCGTGGCGGCGCGACACCGCTCTTCCCGCCAAAAGTGGGGTGGGGAGCCTGGGGCTGAGGGGGTTGCACCCTGTGGAGAGGGACAGGGCAGGGAGTTAGGGTCGGCGGCCAAACGGGCGGCTGGCAGGACTGGGAGACCTGCTCCATGGCGAGGGGTGAGGCACTGCCTGCCCCGGCACCGGGTAAACATGCTCTAGGTGCAGGACCTGGATAATGGCAGTGCTGACAGACCTGAGGGCTCAAACACCCAACTACCAGGCCCAGAAACATCAAGGGGGGATTCGGCAGGACAATCCGGTGTGTCTTGAGATGGCTGTAAAAGTGGCTCTGAAACATCAGGCAGAAGGCACCTTCCACACACCATCCATTTGGGATCCTCCTTTCTCTAAGGCTAGCGAGTTGTGATGGGGCTGTTTGACGTGAGGCAGGGTGGCAGGAGAAGCATCTCCTGGCTGGGCTTTTAGCCACAGAAATCAGGTGTTGGGGTGGAACCAGAATGTGTCATATTTTTAGACCTTTAACTCCCCTTTAAATGTTGAGTCTGTCTTCTCTGCTGCCACCACCACTATTAAAGGTCCTTACACAGACAGTAAGGAGCAATACTGAATTATGGGAATGTGAGCATAGCTTTCAGACAAAGGCAAAGGCCATTTATTCTTCTAAATTAGCAAATTATCCATCCTGCCATGTTAACGGTGCAGGGGGTGAGTATCAGCATAGATCTTTACGCTTAACCTCTTCTTAAATTCCAAAATCTGTATTTTAAAGGACGTTTATTAGGAGATTTTGTCTGTATGCAGATAAACCATATCTGGGCCATTATAGTAATAGAAAGGTGAACAATCACATAGTATTGGCCATCCAAGACTAAACTTGTATATTTCATAGTTTGCTTCTGTTGGGCATTGGGGAAAATGAGTTGCAGAGCCACAGATGTTACAAATCCCCACCTTCCACCACAAAATATGGCAGAAGTTGAAGATCTGTGTATGGCTAGAATAAGATCAAGGAACTTCATAAACTTTACATGATACTGACTGAAAGATTGGTGAGTTTAAAAGAAATAGAACAAAGCCCACCATGAACAAGGCACACACACACATGTATACATGTATACATGCTCAAAAACACCCAAACTCACACCTTTTGGTCTCATGTAGTTATTTTGATTTCACAGTGACATTCTTCTGTATGGCTTATTGCAACAATTTTGACCTTTCATCATAAAGTATTTTTGGGGAAAAAAAAAATGTTTGGACGCTTCTTGATTCCTGAATTATCAAATGCTGTTTATTTTATTATTTCATATGGAGAAAAATCCCATTTATCTGTACCCCTTTGATCTGGAACTCCTTTGAATCTAGGTTATGTCCCCCTGGTGTGAATTACTTATACAATAACTCCCTCAATTATTTGAAGCCCTGTTTATCCAAATGTTTTGATGTTCCAAAAGTGTTTTGAATAAACAGGGTCCTGCTGTCATTGGATATATCAGATATCTTTGGGGATGAATATAGGATGATTTCCCCTGACCTTATTCTGTATCATCTTGTTCTTAAATGAACAGGCAGTGTAAGCTTAAGTATATAGTTAGTGTATTGGCACCATCTTTTTGTTTCATTGTTCTCATTAAGAGACAAAATCCCAGAAATTTTACTCAGGAAGGACTCAACACAGATGCCAGCAGAAGTTCTGCTTGAGTAAGGAGTGCATAAAAAAAGATCTAGAATGCTGCTCAGTTTTATCATACTTCTATGACAAAGCAAAATTATTTGCATATTTTGGCTTTTTTCATCCACTCCCATTAACACTAGGTTGTGTCTAATGAAAGTCCTCATGTTTATTCACTTTCTTAGACAATTGCGGTTGTCTTTTTTATTCCCATGAGATTTTTAAGGGTCAAGATTGAGCATGAAATGATGCAAGAAGCTGGAAGAACAGGAAAGGAAAAGTCCATCAGGACATTTTAATAAATATTTTTTACTTGTTCAATTGAATATATTTGTGGAGTTAATAATGAAAAACAGGAAGTGTAAGGCTTCCAAGAAAAGGCACCAATAAATTTGTTTAATTAAGATGGAATGAATCAATAGTAGTCTTGTGGTAAGAAGAGTTCATATAAACTAGGAGTTTGTCTCCAACTAGAATAACCTAATAACTAGTACCAATGATAAGGACATATTACAGATAAACAGGACAAAAATATTCATATTTACCCTGCTAGGGCAAATATGAATAATGATAATTAATGAACATAATATTTATGTTACATTATCACAACCTGAACCATATGTTACATCCACATACCCATGAACACATGATAACCCTTCGATAAGTAATGTTGGGAATAACATATTTTGGGTATCCCTGGAAGTGATTAAGGGCAGGCTGGATGGAGCCTTGAGCAACCTGACCTACCAGAAGGTGTGCCTGCCCATGGCAGGGTGTTGGAACTAGGTGATCTTTAACATCCCTTCCAACCCAAACCATTCTAGGATTCTATGAATTAACCTTCTTGTATAGATACTCCATAATAAACTGAGCCAGGTATTTGAGGGTGTCGTGGTTTAAACTCAGAAACCACGCAGCCGTTAGCTCACTCATCCCCCTCTTCCTCCCTCCACTTCCGGAAGGATGGGGAGGAGAATCGAAAGAATGTAACTCCCACCAGTTGAGATAAGAGCAGTCCAGTAACTAAGGTATAACACAAATCACTACTACTACCACCAATAATAATAATGATAAGGGAAATAACAAGGGAAGAGAATACAACTGCTCACCACTCACCAACTGATACCCAGCCCAACCAAGCAGTGATCTAACCCTTCTGGGTAACTGCCCCCAGTTTATATACTGGGCATGATGTGCTGTGGTATGGAGTACCTCTTTGGTTAGTTTGGGTCATGTGTCCTGTCTCTGCTTCCTCCCGGCTTCCCCTCCTCCCTGGCAGAGCATGAGACTCAGAAAGTCCTTGGTCACACTAAACATTACTGAGCAGCATCTAAAAACATTGGTGTTATCAGCGCTGTTCCCAGGCTGAGAGTCAAAAACACAGCACTGCACCAGCTACT